TATTTAGATTTATCTTATAATGTTTTATTGTTTAAATAGCTTGAAGTAATCTCTAAATTGAAATATCAGGCTATTTGGTAAAAGAGTCAGCTTGCCTAGTTCTACGATAGGCACCATCATGACCGGGTTGGTTTTTGGGTCACGACAAGTTGGTATCAGAGCCTAGGTTTTATAGGTCTCACGGGTCATGAGCAAGTTTAGTAAAGTCTTGCGGATCGGTACAGAGACATATATACTTATCTTCGATAGGTTGCATAACCTTTAGGAAATTCCACACTCTTGAATTCTTATTGTCCGTTATTGATTCAGCTTGAAGCGTAACTCCTTGAATTCCTTCCACGCATTTATGTGTGCGCATGAGCCTTAGTATCAACTATGCTCGACGGCTTATGGTTCCCTGAACGAGCGGCGAGATTGATTTTTGTGTGTTGATGTTGGGCCAGTCTGGAGGACTTGAGGCTGGGCTTTGCCTGTAGCTTGAGCACTGAGGTGTTGATTATGTGAGCACGTACTTTTGGATTTATATGTTCGGTAGTGTCCCTACTAGTGGAAGTGATGATTGGATGGCTACGTGATGAGTATGATGTAACTGCTAGATGTGTTCATATGATTTGAATGTAACGAGAAGGGTATACTTGAGGGTAGAAAGAACTATTTGGTGCTTGATTTTCATCTTGATTTGATGTATAATCCCGAGTTATGGGTGTGTTGAAGGATCTTTTCATGTTGTTTAGTTGGGGTGTGAAGTAGATTTCATGTCATGATATGATTCAAACTCAGGAAGATTAAGTGATTGTGTGATATTTATGACAGTGGAAGGGTAGGAAGAGATATTAGTTTGAGGCGAAGTAGGTGGGTTATCTTCTGCGGGGTGTCCTGAGGGCATGTGTTCCCTATGTTTTACCAGTGAAATTTGTGTGTTGCAATTTGAGTTTGGATCGCTTATGAGAATAGGCTTGACAATTATGAGTGATAATGCAAGATTTGCAGATGATTTGAAGTACTAGATGGTTTGTGTTGCACGAGCTTATGAAGGACTTAGTTAATCTCACTATGGTATTATGAGAGTAATAGAGTATGGCATTGTGAGTTTTTATGTGTTTTGACCTATGGCTTTGAGCCAAGTGGGGGAGTCTGCTATTGATTAGTTGATTGCGTGGCTAAGTGTCGTATTAATTTCAGTTTGAGGTATACCAGCGAATCAATTGTGGCTTACAGAGGTTGAGATCGAGGATGACTCGAGAAAAGGAATTTTTGGATAAGGGTTGTGTATGCTTTTATGGGTATATGTTTGGGCCATTGAAATGGTCCGGAATTGGCTCCAAATTTGGGCTACAAATTAAATACACGAAATTATTTAAATAAAAATAATTAATAAATAATAAAATATTAATGTAATAGTTGTAATTATGCATAGCATATAGGCTATTATTGCAAAATTATGGAAATAACTTAAAAATACAAATATAGTTATATGAAATAAAGTAAAAATATTATGAAACATATATATGGATGCAAATAATAGATTTGGATGATTAAATCATCATAAAATAATTTAAGGGGTAATTAATACATATTCAAGTAATTTAAATGCAAGAAAATCAATTTTAAAGCTTTAAAAATTATGGAATATTATATAAAGTACGTGTATAACTCTTGTAAATTAAATAATGATGCAAAATAATATTTTGAAAGTATATATACTATTTGAAAAAATATGAGGGAAAAATTGGGTATCAACAACTATCACTCTTTACCCGGGAATGATGAAAGAGTTGTCGGGTAAAGAAAATGATGACCAATTTTGTCCGAAGTGAGTGAGGAATGATGTGTTTTGAAAAACTTGGGGCCGAACACTGGTTCTTGAGTTGCCTACATATCCCTGGTATTACGAAAATTGGGTCGTGTGTAGTTTTGGATCCAACGGCGAGCAAAACCGATGGATTTGTTATAAGAGTGGCCGTATGTTTCAAAAAAAAAAAATCTTTTGGGTAGGATAGTATCGTAAGTAGCGGATAATTTCAATGCGAATTGAATGTTACGAATGTACGAGGCAGATATTTGAACGGTTATAGAACAAAAGGTAATCAATTGCTGATCATCAGTTACGTTTGAGGTGATCGAAGGACGTGAACGTTGTGAATGGAAACCGGAGCGTGAATTGCTCCTGTTTGTAGAACGGTTACCTCCCGAGTTACCTACAAAACTTAAAACAGGATGTATGCGAATATATATGGGTTATTACGAAAATTTAACCATGATGCAAATTTCCTTCGGACCATGAGAGTTATCTTTGGACGATGAGGATGATGTCCTTAGACTATGATGTCCTGGGCCATGAAGTGTATGATAAGGGATTCACAGGCTATGGAATGGTGTCTTTGGTCCATGAGGATGGTGCCTCCGGACTATGACGCTTTTGAATAATGATATGCAATTTCGAGAGATCCTTAGGCCAAGGCATGGTGTCTTCAGGCTATGAGGATGGTGCCTATGGACTATAACACCTTCAGACAATATAACGATGTTTCAGCCCATAAAATGCAGGTATGTGGTAATATTGATTGTTGATAAAAGAAACATGTGATGCTTAGTCATATGCGGGAACGAGACAAGACAAGACTTGGTCTTGTGTGAGATGAGGGCAGTGCTTAGCCCGATGTAAAAAAGGGAGACTGTGCTTAGTTTTATATAAAGGAAAGTTGTGCTTAGCCTTATGTAGTATGGAGGTAGTGCTTAGCCTCATGCAGAGAATGGAGACAGTGCTTAGTTTCATATAAGGAAAGGCAATGCTTAGCTATATATATTACCCCAAGTTGATTAACTTAGTTTGGTAAAGCTTAAGGTCCTTCCTTAATTATATATAATAAGTTTATTCCTATTTGAAAGAAGGGTTCGAATCATATCTCGCTATTGACCAATAGGTTTCACTGCGTCATGATTTCCTTTTTAGCTCTGCACTATACCAAAAAAAAGGGTTTTAGCGTTAAATGCGCCAAAGAATGCATAAATATAAAAACTGCATTCAATTATTAAGTGGCTTCCATGCATGCGCCAATCTCCATCACTTGCCCATCTTTACTTTTTTTTTTTTCTCTCGTCTCAAACAAATCACATATAGTTTTCTCTTGCTATATTTGGCTGCAGAAAATTAAATTTCCTATAACCTTCTTTCCTTGCCAGTCAAAACTAACTCTTTTTACTTGTTTTATCTTTTGTCAAACAATTCACATGGGTTACTCTTGGTCTCTTGCGGTATGGCAGTAGAAATTAAAATTTCTCCTAACCTTCTTCTCTTGTCTTCTTTAAACAATCACATGGGTTACTCTTGCTATTTGGTAGTAGAAATTAAAATTGCCCATAACCTTTTTTCTTTTCTTGACAGGGTAAGAATAACTCTCTTTACTTCTTTTCTCGTCTCTTTGAACAATTTAAATGGGTTAGTCAGTTTATAATAGTAGAAATTAATATTAGGGAACATGTCCAAATTACCATCTATTTTCGAATATTGTCTACATATAACTTTTGTTATACTATTCCGCAACATTTACCTCTACGTTATACTATTTGGCCAAATTTACCCTTACTACTAGCAAACTTTTCAAATTATCCCTCAATCCGTCAGGTGACCCCAGAATCTCCCAAATTATTTTAATTAAGTCACTTATTCTTCTTCTTGATCTACTGTTTTCGAAATAGTTGGCATTTACTTGCTTTCTTAATTGGAAAAAAGATAAAAGAAAGAAATATTAAAATAATACAACGATTAGTAAATAAAGTGTAGTAAATTGAAGAATCTAAATTAGGTAGCTTGCCTAAATTCTAAAAGTATTTGCAACACCTCACTTGATTGAATTCTTTGCACCAAAGGTATGGAGACTTTGCAAGTGTTAATGATAGAAGTTAAAGTTCCTTGTAGACTTTATATTGTTGAATTCAACTTTACTTTAATCAAATACCTACACATTGTGCACTGTTAAGTTAGTCGATCGAAACCTACACTAGCAAGACAATAACAAAATATATTCGAATATACATGTACATACATGATGAGCAGCTGCATATAATACGTAATAAATAGACCCCTTGAATTCAACTGTGTATATAGTTGAAAAATAAATAAAATTTTAAACCAATTCCAAACTCACTAGCACAAGAAGGGAAGTGGGTGCAATGATAGTTAAAAATATACATAAATAATTTGTATAGTTTAGTACCTTTAGAATTTACATCAATAGTAATTTCTGAAAATAGCGGAGCAAGAAGAATAACAAGTGATTTAAATAAAAGAAAAGTGGGACATTTTGGTTTACGTAACGGATCAAGGGGTAATTTTTAAAAGTTTGCTAATGTTATAGGTAAATTTGGCCGGATAGTATAACAGTAAGGGTAAATTTGACCGAATTGTATAAGGAAAGTTAAATGTAAACAATATCCGAAAGAAGAGGGAGTATATTTTGCCCTTTTACCTAAAAATTTAAGTCATATGTGCAGATGATTTTTACAATATCTAGTTATTCTTTATTCTTTCAAGATTATCGGTAAAATAATTATTACATAAACTTAAATTAAATTTTTGAACATTTAATTTTATACATTGACAGTTTAAAAGGCTTTTTTCACTATCGGTACCTAAATAATAACTATTGATTCCAAAAGTGAGAATAGTAACTTCAAAAAAAATAGGAGATTTCATGCTGCAACATATTAAAATATTGTTTTAGTACTATAAAAATTCTTTACGTCCGCAACTGTATATAATCTTTTTGTTAGAATGAAGAAGAATGAAGATGAATTCATGGATTTCTCTAGAAGAAAACCCTAAATCGAATGTACTAGAGAGAGGAAATTTCAGAGAATGAAATCTGTATTGTATTGAATAAAATATCTCTCTTATACAATGTAACCATTATTAGTCTATTTATACTAAACGAACAAAAATGGTTATCTATTACATATGTGGCTATATACACAATAATATTATAAGACTTGTAAAGTTGTCATCTTGGGCCTGGGTCTATTTCCTCTTCAGATATGTTTGACCCTGTATGAGTTGGGCCATCATTTAATCTAACACCCGCCTGCCTCAAGCTGGAGGGTGAAAAGACTCCCAGCTTGGATAAAAGAAACTGATGCTGAATGCGAGTCAATGGTTTGGTAAAAATGTCTGCCAGTTGAGATGCAGTAGGAATATAATTCAAAGAAATGAGGCCACCAACAAGTTTTTTCCGGACAAAATGATAATCAAGCTCAATATGCTTGGTCCTCTTATGTGAAATAGGATTCTTGGCAATGCTTATGGCTAACGTGTTGTCACAGTACAAAAGAATTGGAGCAGAAATAGAACGACCCAAGTCTGCCAATAGTCTAACGAGCCAAGTAAGTGCAGCAATAGTTTTTCGAAGAGCCATGTATTCAGCTTTTGCAGAAGCCAATGATATTGTAGGTTGTTTCTTAGACTTCAGCGCAATAGGACTGCCCCAAGTGTCACATAATAACCATTCACAAATTTCCTAGAAGAAGCACACCCTGTCTAGTCAGAATATGAATAAGCAATGACTGAAAAATCCTTATTGTTGTTGAGAAGAATTACCCTGGCTGGATCCTTAACCAAATACCTCAAAACATGAAGGCCTGCTTATATATGAGCAGTTGCAGGAGCATTAAAGAACTTAGCTTAGGTGATGAATAGAGAAAGAAATATCAGGCCTTGTGTGTTGAAGAAAGTTCAGCTTGCCTATGAGACTTCTATAAGGGGAAACATCAAGCAGTGGATCACAGAAGTAGGAGTAAGCTTTATAGACATATCCAATGGTATAGCAACAGGAGAAGCAGACTCACAATGAAACTCAGTGAGCAGTTCCTTGAGATACTTGTGTTGGTTGATCAACAAGCCTTGGGGCAAATGAGAAACCTCAAGCCCTAGAAAATAGTTGACAGAACCCAAATCCTTTATTTTGAATCGGGTGTCTAAAAATGATTTGATAGAGTTGTAACGACCCGGCCGGTCGTTTCATAAATTATAGCCCTGTTTCTTGCATTTCTGCTTCTTCAAGTGATGTTCAGATATATTTGATCGTAGTGAGTTAGTTGGTTCGGGTTTGGAGTGGTTTTAGAGTAAATTGAGACACTAGTCTCTTTTGAGAAGGCTTAAGTTGAGAAAGTTGATCGGATATTGACTTATGAGTTAACTACCTCAGATTTGAATTCTGATGCTTCCGTTAGCTCAATTATGTAATTTTAGACTTAAGAGCGTATTCGGAATGTAATTTGAGGTCTATGGTGGATTTAGGATTGAATAGGCAAAATTGGAAATTTGGCATTTTTCGATCGGCAGTAAAAATCTTGATATCGAGGTCGGAATAGAATTCTGGAAATTGGAGTAAGTCTATAGTGTCATTTGTAACATGTGTGCAAAATTTCAGGTCATTCAAAGGTTATTTGATAGGTTTTGGCGTCGTTTGTGAAATTTGAGAGTTTATAAGTTCTTAGGCTTGAATCCGAGGTTGATTTGGTGTTTTGATGTTGTTTTGAGTGATTCGAAGGTTCAACTAAGTTTGAATGATGTTATGCAATGTATTTGTATGTTTGGCTGAGGTCCCGAGGGCCTCGAGTGTGTTTCAGATGCTTAACGGGACATATTTAGACTTGAAAAATTGGCAATTTTTGCTGGTATTTCTGTTGCAGAAGATCGTTCTTCGCGATCGCGTGAGGAGGCTCGCGATTGCGTAGGGCATTTGTAGAGACCAGTAAAGTTGTTCTTCATGTTCACAGAGAGAGGTATGCGATCACGTAGGTTCCTCAAGTGATGCATCGCGAGCGCATGGGCTAAGTCGCATTCGCGTAAGGTTAAATGGACCAGAGTTGGGGCCACACGTTTGTTCATCACGAATGCGATAAGTGGTCCCTGATCACGTACGAGTGAGAGGCAGAACATCGCATTCATGTGGTGTTTAACGCATTCACGTAAGGTAAAGTCACGAGTCAGTGAAGTTGTTCTTTGCGATCGCGAGGGTGCTTCGACGATCGCGATTAAGGAAATAACTTGGCAGAATGTTTAAAGTTCAAAACGAAGGTTTGAGTTCATAATTCCAAAATTCAATAGAGAGCTCGGGAAAAGATGATTTTTGACGGGATTTTCAGAGAAGTGTTTGGGGTAAGTGGTCTTCACTTGTTTTTAGTTAAATTCCATGATTGTGGCTTGATTTTTATCATCTAAATTGGGAATTTGGGGTGAAAATGGAAGAGAATTGGAGAGTTAATTTTGGGGATTTGAATGGCCATTTGATGTCAGATTTTGATGATTTCTGTATGTATAGACTCGTGAGTAAAAGGAGTTTCTAGTTTTCTAATTTTTGTCGGATTCCGAGACGTGGGCCCGGGGGCTAGGTTTGGGTGAATTTCGGAATTTTGGTGTAAATTGATAGTTTTTCATTTGGAATTGATCCCTTGGCCTATATTGATCACATTGTATTGTTTTTTGTTAGATTCGAGATATTTGGAGGCCGATTCCAGAGGCAAGGGCATCGCGGAGTAGGGATTTGACCGGTTCGAGGTAAGTAATGATTGTAAATTTTGTCCTGAAGGCATGAAACCCCGGATTTCACATCGTTTTACCATTGTGAGGTGACAGACATGCTAGGTGACGAGCGTGTGAGCATGCACCATTGGGATTATGACTTCTTCCATCCCGTAGCAACTATAAAGTTGCGTATTTGGCTGAAAACTATTTGATACTTATGTGTTTTAGAAAGAGCTACTATAATTGGGTTGAACGCCATATCTGGCCCTTGTGCCAAAGCTGTTTGGAACTTAGAGGTCTTTTATTGATTATCCTCTCACTGTGTTGATTTAATATTTATACTCAGTCATGTTATGTTTACTGATTTCATAAACTTAGTCTTTATTACGTGCTTTTGATGTATAAATCGATATTTTGGGTCGAGCACCCTATTTTACTGATAACCATAGTGGTTTGAAAGGTTTCTGACTTAGTGAGGCCAAGGGCCTATGTTGTGAGGATATTATGGAATCGGGCTGCGTGGCACAACATGATGTTACTGATTTATGATTTATGAGAGGCTGAGGGCCTGATTGATTAATGCCAAGAGGTGGCTTGTTATAGTGCTTGGGTTGTAGGAGCCCCTCCGGAGTCTGTACACCCCAGTGAACGTGGGTACCCTGAATGAGTGATACGATGTTGCTCGAGGGGTTGTTCTTGATTCATGTTGTGCCCAAGGGGCTGTTTATGAGTGACTGTGAGGTTTGCCCTACGGGCTGATTCTAAGTGATGTTATGCCCGATGGGCGGTATATGATACATGTTTGCCCAATGGGCTCTTACAATTTTCAACAATTTTCATCATTTTTACTCTAAATTGCATTGAACCTCTGTTGAAAATATTGAAAAATATCTTTAAATGATTTTTACCGAAACTGGGTTTTAAACGAGATGATTTGACTCATATACTGATTTGAAAGCATGTTGTACTTACTGAGATTTCATGACGTGGATTTTATGTGTTTCTTACTGCTCAGTCTTTATTTACCTTTATTACTTACTTAGTTGGCATACTCACATTACTCCCTGCACCTTATGTGCAGATCTAGAGGTTGTTGGATGTGCCAGCGATTGTTGATTCTTATCCGACGCGGATTTGTGGAGTTAGCAAAGTAGTTGCATGGCGATCACAGCCCTGCTCTTCTCCCTCCTATCTTCTTTTAGACTTTATTAGTTGTTTTTCCAGACTCTATTAGTCTTAGTTGTCATTGGATAGTCCTTATTAGATGCTCGTGAGTTGTGATATCCCGATGTTGGGCTTTTCTTTCCGCACTTTGTTATTCAGACTTATATTATAATGTTTTGTTAATTAATAGCTTAAAGCGAATCATTGTTTTGAAATATTGGGTTGTTTGATAGAAGACTCGACTTGTCTAGTTCCACATTAGGCGCCATCACGACCTGATAAATTTGGGTCGTGACAAGTTAGTATCAGAGCCTAGGTTAAATAGTTCTCACGGGTCATAAGCGGATTTAGTAGAGTCTTGCGGATCAGAACGGAGATGTCTGTACTTATCTTTGAGAGACTGCAGAACCTTTAGGAAAATATCACATTCTTAAATTCTTGTCGTGCGAATCTCTTGATTCCGGTATCTAAACTTTTGTTATTGTATTCTCTCATAGATGGTGAGGACACGTGCTACCGGCGAGGACGGACGACCACCAATACCACTAGTTGGGGCTGCAATAGGTCGAGGTCGTCGTTAAGGCCGTGGTAGGGGCAGAGGTGTAGCCGGCAGAATAGCTAGGGCAGCACCGACAGATCCACCAACCGCCCTAGTTCATGATCAGGTCCCAATTATGGATGCTCCAGCAGGACCAGCTTAGGCACTGGTTGTGCCTATTGTTTCATAGGCCTTTAGGAAGCCCTAGCTTAGATTCTATCAGTGGGCACTAGCCTGGCTCATGCGGTCTCAGTTACTACGGCCGCAGCTACTTCTCAGGCTAGGGAAGACACTCAGACTCCCGCCGCTCGCATACCTGAGCAGGTTGTTTAGGGACTTTAGACACCGGGGGCACCTCCAGCCTAGCCGGTTACAGCTACTCAGGACTATGTAGCTCCTGTTATGCCATAGGACGAGCAATGCATATTGGAAAGGTTTGGGAGACTCCAGCCTTTGTCATTTAGTGGTTTTGACGGTGAGGATACATATGGTTTCTTGGACAAGTGTTAGAGGATGCTTCGGACCGCAGGTATTATGGAGACTAGTCGGGTCTCATTCACTACTTTCCAGTTCTCTGGGGCTGTACTTAGTTGGTTGGAGACTTACGAGAGGTGTAGGCCGGTTGGCGCAACGCCCTTACTTGGCAACAGTTCTCCGTCCTCTTTCTGGACAAGTTTGGAGCTGAGTCTCGCCGAGAAGAGCTACGCAGGTAGTTTGAGCAACTTCGCTAAGGTAATATTTCTGTTACACACAATGAGATGCGGTTCTCCGAGTTGGCCCGTCATGTGGTATGGTTGGTTCCAATAGATCGAGAAAGGATTAGGAGGTTTATAGATGGCATCAGTTTTCAGCTTCGGTTGCATATGACCAGAGAGAGTGTGTCTGGTGCCACTTTTGATGAGGTTGTCGACATTGCTCGACAGATTAAGATGGTTCTTGGTTAGGAGAGGGTTGAGAGGGAGGCCAAGAGGCCTCATAGACAGGGTGGATTCAGTGGTGCTCCTCATGGGGGTCTGTTCCAGCACGACAGATGCCGTCTATTCAGGCATGCTCAGTCAGCTCGCTCAGTTCACCATGGTGCATCATCGGGCCATAGTTCTCACAATTCTCATTAGGGCCATTCATCACTTAGTTCCCTCCCAGCCAGAGTTCGTCCCGTGATCCATCAGCTCAGGGCTCCTTCATGTTAGGTTCTTCTACTAGTCATCCCGGTGCTAGGGGTTCCCTTCAGTCCCCGTCTCCAGCACCAGGGGCTTATTATGAGTGTGGAGATTTGGGGCATATCTGGAGGTAGTGTCCTCATCATCATGGGGGTGCGTCGCAGCAGAGGAGTCAACCATCGACTTCAGCACTAGTTACTTCACCACCTACCCAGTCAGCTAGGGGTGGAGGATAGTCAACTAAGGGTCGCCTAGAGGGGGAGGTCAATTAGGTGGTGGTCAGGCTCGTTTCTATACACTCCCAGCTAGACCAGATGCTATTGCTTCAGATGCTATGATCACAGGTATTGTCTCAGTATGCCACATGGATGCCTCTGTATTTGATCCTGGTTCCACTTTTTATATGTGTCAGCATATTTTGCTCTTTATTTGGATATGCCCCATGAGTCTTCTACTTCATATGTTTGTGTATCTACTCCAATGGGCAATACTATTGTTATGAACTGCGTATATCGGTCATGTATGTTGACTTTTGGAGGTTTGGAGACCCGAGTAGACCTTTTGTTGCTTTGTAAGATTGATTTTGATGTGATATTGGGCATGGATTGGTTGTCTCTGTGTCATGCTATTTTAGACTGTCATGCTAAGATAGTGACGTTGGCTATGCCGGGGATGCCACAGATTGAGTGGCGAGGTCATCGGATTATGTTCTCAATAGGGTGATTTCATTTTTGAAGGCCCAGTGGATGCTTGGGAAGGGTTGTCTTTCTTATATGGCCTTCGTGAGGGATATCAGTGTAGAGACTCCTACTATTGATTCAGTCCCAGTAGTGAGGGATTTTCTGGATGTGTTTCTTGTAGACCTGCCGCGCATGCCGCCAGAAAGGGATATGGACTTTGGTATTGATTTGGTGCCGTGCACTCAGCCCATTTCTACTCCACCATATCATATGGCACCGGTGGAGTTAAAGGAGTTGAAGGATCAACTTTAGGAACTCCTTGATAAGGGGTTTATTTGGCCTAATGTGTCGCCTTGGGGTGCACCTGTTATATTTGTGAAGAAGAAGGATGGTACGATGAGGATGTGCACAAATTACAGGCAGTTGAATAAAGTTACAATCAAGAACAAGTATCCTTTGCCGCGTATTGATGATTTATTTGACCAGCTTCAGGGAGCGAGCTTGTTCTCCAAGATTGATCTTAGGTCAGGGTATCACCTGCTGATGATCAGGGACTCGGACATTCTTAATACAACTTTCAGGACCCGATACGGTCATTATGAGTTCCTTGTGATGTCTTTTAGGCTGACTAATGCCCCAGCAGCGTTTATGCATTTGATGAACAACGTGTTTCGGCCTTATCTCGACTCGTCTGTTATTGTA